GTGTTGTGGTATTTTCGTGGGACACACACCGCGAACACTCGTCAGAAAGAGAGGCTAGGCTAGGCTAGGCTAGCGGTGCTAACTAGCTGTCTCTTTGTACCCGCTGGTTGTTAACCCGCGCTAACCGGCTCTGTCCCGGGTCATACGCGCTCTCTGTGCCGTTGACCCGGGTCAGCCTACCTCCTCCAGCTCGTCTTTGGCGTCCAGCTGCGTGGACACCAGCAGCCGGCCCTGCGGCTTCGCCTTAGCCGGTGCGGGATCCATCTGCGGCCGCCGCGCCTCGCCGGGCCCCGCGGAGCTGCGAAGGGCTGGCACTGCGGGCTCAGGGGCGGGTTATAAGTGCTTCTGTCGGTGTACCGGACGGTTCGGAGCTCCGGGCAGAGCGGGAGCCTCGGTCCTGCTCGCTGCGGGCGGTAACGGGGATTTATCGGTAGTTTCGGGGCAGCGCTCGCTCTCCGTCCGACCGCAGCAACATAACGGACATCCGCGGAGGGCAGGGGGCGGGGTCTACAGCGACGCTCCACCAATCACCGCACGGCCTGCCTCTGAGCGATGTACGTATGGACCAATGAGAGGAGAGGAAAGCTGCAGCCAATCACCGGCCTGCTCTGCTGAAGACCATCTGCGTGGAAACCAATACGTTGTTTATAAATAACAATATTGATCTATTTCTGATAAAGATATCGATTATTCAGCCTGATTGGTGTTGTTTTTCACACAATAATGAAATATAGCCCTTAACATTCATTTAATCAATACAACATAAGACCTGCATTCACTCATAAAGGGAAACAACAAACAACACAACAAGAATACTCCTCCTGTTTTAACAAATGGAAATCTATCCATAATCTGACTGGATATATGAACTGCAATAAAAGTAAAATAAATGCAGTGTGGACAGAGATCACTGTTCCTGTAATGAATGCTCTCATATACACACTGTTTATCCTTTAATATGGAAGTTATTCTTTCTAATGGAAGGCTGATCATATCTGTCTGATCCACCTGATTGTTCATTTCTAATTCATTATTTCTAATATTTAATTCTGATGTATTATTTTGTATTAATGTGTATAAATCAGCAACACAATCAACACAAGTTAATTCATTTTATTTACAGGATGGAAGTAATGAAGTACTAATACTTTCTAACTGTACTCGGGTATCTTTACTTTTGACATTTTTACACAAATATCTGAACTTTCCAGATCCACATCACACAGGAGGTCTCTAAAATACTGGCCCTGTATCCCTCCAGGATTTCTCAGGCTTTTCTGGGGATTGTTGTGGCCTAAAAGCTCTTATTTCTTTCTTTCTGGAAAACTGAGATTCATGTTGAGATGTTTTTAGGCACTTTTTTGCAATGAGCTGCAGGTGTCAGTCTGTCTGTAGCTGTGGACGATGTGTGAAATCAAATGATTCCTGTTTCTGAATGAAACTGCTGCTGAGTTCAGACACGTTTACATTTTATTGTATGGCTCCTTACATTTACACATTTTATGGAAAATATAAATTGATTCACTTCCTGTGAATACTTTGCAATTAATTTCTATTCAGCAACATATATGGAATGTTTCCAATAATCAATCAATAAATATGAATACTTTATTTAAATGCAGCAGCTGATTATTGTATCGTATTGTAAAAAAAAGTGATCAAATAATAAAGACAGAAATAAAACACACAGTTCATTTTTATTTTTACACCATTAATTTCAAATGATTTATTTTTACAGTGAAACATTCATGTGTCTGTTCCTCCCGTGTGACTTCCTGAAGGGTCGGAAGTTCAAAATCCTGAAACACTTTTTATTTGAAAAACGTTGTTTACAGGTCTTCATCAAACACATTAATAACATTTAAGTAAACAGGACACACCCACCACCCAGATATCAGCCAATCACGTCCCAGACAGACAGAGGGCTAATGTTAGCTCACCCCCGTTTAGCTCTCTCAGCGGCGCTAGGTGAGCTAGGGCGTAACGGTGTTAGCTAATGTTGTTATGATGTATTCAAGACACGTCCTGTTGTATTTAAATGTTAATATTGGGTGTTTGATGAAGATCTGACTGAAGCCACAGGCTGTAAAACACATTGTTGATCAATAAAGTTATTGTAAGGAGGTGAAAGGCTTGTACCAGGAAAGCCCAGGAAGAGCTAAACGTCCAATCAGGGAGAGGAGTAAGGAGGAGGAGGCGGTTTAATACCAGTTGTTTTCTGACATCTGTCAGTCAGTGCTGATGTGACCTTTAGACCTGAAACATCAAAACTGTCAATAATGAGCAGTCAGACCTCGTTCCTCGTCCTCTCCTCCCTTCTCTTCCTTCTTCCTCTGTCAGTTGTAGTCGTTCTCTCCCAGCATTTCCAGTACGTCCTCATCTGTCCTTTCCCTTCATCTCAATTCTCTCCTCTGAGCTGCAGGCGGAAGCAGCCGAACTCCTGCAGAACCTGGCGGGTCGCTCCGGGGACGTGGATCTTCAGATGCCTGCACACACAACACAACCACAATGTATACATAATACATAGAGAATATATAGTACACTGTACACTGCAGCAACTTACAGTTCTGACTGAAAACTGAACCTTTAAATATTTGATCTTCCTTCGTAGTTCAGTCCGCTCTGTCCAGAGAAACTACGATGTTAAACTGTCAGTTACTCTCAGAATCCAACCTGCAGTCACCCTGCTAAGTAAGTGCAATGCTCTATAAAAATCTCTATACTATTGTCTACTTGTTAGAGATGAAACTGACAGACTGTATCTGTGTATTGGCTAGTATATCTGTTTATGGAATACAAACTACAACAGTGCAGTCTGCAGTGTTACGTGAGCAGAGCGTCGTATATTGGTCAGTTGTGTGTGTGTTGTGTGGTGTGTTGTTTGTGTGTGGTGTTGACCCTCGCTCCGTTGGACTCCATGCGGTGATTGCTGGTGTTCACGTGTGTCTCCAACAGGACGAGTACGCTGGATCTTCAGCCCAGACCACACCTGCACACACCGGACCTACACACACAATTTAGTATATTATAAGCCCTTTATTAATAAACACACACACCACACACACGGACAACACACACACACACACACTGACCACTGTGATATGCGATGCGGAGGCGGAGTCTGCTGGTCTGGGTCGGTGTCGGATCCTGAAGTCTTAACAGCCGTCCAGCGAGGCGAGGGACATCCGGCCCCTCCCGGACCGATGGAGCCTCCCGTTCCTCACCGGCAGCCAGACACCACCATGTACGCCGTCCCCGATGGTCTGCCCACCTGCAGCAGAAATGATATCAATCAGATCAAAGTAGCTATCCGATAAATCACCATGCTGCCACTGCGTCCCACCATTCTCTGATTTAAGAGCTTCTCATTGTCCAAACGTACGGCAGTGGCTGATAGATATGGAGTCCAGATTCTGTTGTTTAATATTTCTCTCCTCCTGTGTGAGCAGGCAAGCCGCCCATTGTTTCCAACCAAGCGTAGCCAATGAGAGAAGCTCAACTCGCTTTACGGTGACCTCTGCTGGCTGCTAAACCACAACATGGAGACGACCAGAATGCACAGGAAGTGTCGAGGATGTTTACCTTGTAAACATCAAAGGTTTATCGATGATGGCGTGAAGCATGTTAAGGGTCGTTTCAACAGCGTCACCACTGGAAAGTAAAATAACCTATTCACTGCAGGATCATGTCACCACCAGAGGGGCAGCACTGACTGGATTATTTATCACTGAGCCTCTTAGCGTACGCTACACAGACAATAAGTAATAATATTAACATTATACATCATACCAGTACATGGTATCAGCAGTATAAGTTATACTGGTCTACTTCCACTGAACCTTGTAAGCGGCGTGCTCTTCTTGCAGACAGCGCCGTGAAGCCGATGAGCATGTCACTGAAGTTAAATGGTGGACGGAGTCGAACGTTCGGCTAACCGTCTTTTTCTCCTCGTTTCAACTGCTCTGCTCTGAACTGAAATACAGTGGTACATGTATGTTATTAGTATTATGTAGGTATTATGTAGTGTACTGGCAGTATCTTTACTGGGGTAGTATTATTGTATTAATTTCAGTATTATGTAGTAGTACTGCAGTATATTTCACTGGGGTAGTATCTGGTAGCAGCAGTGCCCTCACCTTCGTTTCTCTTCGTGGTACGCCTGCGGTTCTCTCCTCCACCAGCTCCTCCAGGTTCGTTGACGTATTGCTCCATTACGAGACAGGCAGGTTGTCCAGGAGTGTTAGCCCATAACCACTAACAGACAGACAGACAGACAGGACAAGACCAAACAGGAGGACAACAAGACAACAGGAGGACAGACCAGACAGAAAAGACAGACAACAGGAGGGACAGACAAACAGGAGGACAGGACAGACAGACAGACAGACAGGACCAAAAGCGAGGACAGACAGACAGAAAGACAGGCATAAACAGGAGGACAGACAAAGCAGGAGGCAGACAGACAGACAGACAGACAGACAAACAGGAGACAGACAGGACAGAAAGACAGGCAAACAGGAGACAGACAAACAGGGAGGACAGACAGACATGAAAGACCAGACAAACGGAGGACGACAAACAGAGAGGACAAACAGACAGAAAGGGGAAAACAGACAACAGAAAGAAAGACGCAGAGAACAGACAAACAGGAGGACAGCAGACAGACAGACAACAGGAGGACAGCAGGAAGACAAGGAGGACAGACAGACAGACAGAAAGACAGACAAAAGGAGGACAGACAAACAGGAGGGAACAGACAGACAGGAGGACAGACAACAGAGGACAGAAACAGAAAGCAGACCAAAACAGAAGGAGGAGACAGACAGGAGGACAGACAGACAGAAAGGACAGACAAACAGGAGGAACAGAACAGACAACAAAGAGGACATTTTTATGTTACTCAGTTACTCTAACGTCCACCTAGAGGCTCCAGCAGTAAGTTCTCCATAAGGCTCCATATTAAACTGCCACAAATCAACATGTTTACCTTCCCTTTGG